TCACCTTGCTGTCGTTGCTTTGATTGAAATGAGTTAATCAGAGATATGTTTAAATATTTGAGCTGTTGTATTTCTCATTTATTGTTATGTTTTCATTTATATTTATTTAATTGAATTTTATTTTTATTTTTTCAATTAGCACAACACTTGACTCGATATCTTAGTTTATTTTTCTTTGATTTAATTTGCTATTTATTTTTTTGGCATTTGTATTTGCCTTAGTCAAGTCGCTTAATTAGCAAAACAAATTGTAAAACATGGTTTAGCTTGGCCACCCACACGCAGGGACAAAAAATGGAGGGAGACAGATGGGAAACAGGGAGCTGACTTGGTAATCGCGTGGCTGTACACAGTAAACAAATCGTAAATTTTCTAATATTTTGCGTTCACCTGCGCCCTTCGGCACCCAGCAAAGCCAAATAAAACACAAACGAAAAATAACAAAAAAAAACAATAATTGGCATAAGGATAATTTCCTTAGACTCTGCTGCGGCCCACGCAAGGAAACAGCCAGCTGCAAATGTATATGTATGCATGTGTGGGTGTGCGTGTGTGTTGGTGTTTTGGTGTGTTTGTGTGGGTGGCAAAAGCGTCCAACGGGCGCCACAATTTGCGCAGTTTAGGGCTGGCCAAGATTTGATTCATGGTTTGATTCGATTTCATTTTGAGGCCACTTTCTTAGCTAGCAATTTGGCAGCAATTTCGTTATTTTCATTGTAATAAATAGCATTTAAATACTCTGTTAAATTTTGAGCTCTGGCAATCAGAGATTGAAGGAAATATTAAATTTATCTTGTTGGTTGTTTATTCTTCCTTTTATTCCATTTGTTTACCTCTTTGGTATTTACATGTGAATTAATTTATTAATTCTTTTTGTTGGTTTGCTTTGCGACTTTTATATTCCCGTTGAATTCTTAATTATATTAATAAATTTGATTTTTAGTGTGTGACACATTTAACCTTCAGCAGACATGCTTTTAATTATATATTACTCAATGCCAGTTGCAAGTGCGATTTAACGAACACGAACAAACACGCACGCTTTGTTTGCAATTGTTTTTTACGCTGCTTCACTTTCACAAATTCGCTTCAAGGTTGCTTTGGGCACAACCTTCGCCTTAAATTTAGAGTGAGATTCTCGTAAAGTTTCACTTTCGATTGCTCGCAATATTTGCCGCGTGTCACGGGACTCGTTTCATTTTTCTCTATGAGTGTATTTGCGATGTTTTTCACTATTTATTTGGTTAGCCCTTTGTAATTTGGATTTTGCGACACGTGCAGCCGCAGCGGCTGTTTACTCGCCTTTAAAGTTCATCGAAAACTAATTTCGTTTCGATTAAAAAAAACCTCAATGGAATTTCGCTTTACGTTTTCGCTTTCCTTTAGCGCCTACCCTTCGGCTGTTGTTGTTGTTCTTGGTGCTGGTAGCCTACACACATATTTCCAATAACAATGTTACAAGTTCGCCATGTTGTTGTTGCCGTAGCAGCACTTTCCCATGGCGCTTCCAATGCACAACTAAAAATAAAGTTACGCGTGGCCACAGCGACTGCGACGCTAACTGTGACAGAGACGTTGACTGCGATAACATTGACAGCTGCTGCTGCTGCTGCTGCCGCATGGTCGGGTCAGGCAGGCATGGTGCTCTGCTACCTCCACTGCGACTGTTGATGGGGTATTGTGTTGTGTTTGTATTTCTGTTTTTGCGCGCTCTTTCCACCTCCATGGCGAATGGCAAAATCAGCGTGTTTGTCTTTGCTTTCCAATGCCACCCATCCCCCCCTAAGCTCCTGCCTGACAAGCTAAGGAACGCGTGTTGGATGGTTGGACTAACTGTTCGGTCTAACTGGATTGCAAGTGCATTAGTTCTTGTTTTTGTTGTTTCTATTGCTGTTGTAGGCGAATTCGTAGTAAAGAGCATGACGCTGCATGAAATGAAATGCGGTGAATGAAATGACGTCGCTGCAATAAATCGTGTAGAGGATGAAGGATTGAAGTAAAGAGTATCGCGGCGGCAACGTGACGCAAAAAGAGCGGGCGAGACAGATAGATAGAGCGAGTATGAGGCAATGTGATCTATGCGTGGGTATACAACAAATGGCGTCATTAAAATTGCAGTTAATAATGCAATGCACAGTGTATAAAAACGATAAAGTTAAAAGTGAATCAATGAATATGACAAGCACAATATTCGCCATATTTTACATTTTTGCTTAAGCCAAAAATAAAAACTTATGAGGTCATTTTAAAAGGGAAATTTTAAATTCTGACTAAAATTTGGAATTAATAGAATTACTTAAATGGATTTGATACTATGAATCAAATGTAAGAGAATATTAGAACAAAAGATATGATTATAATAAAATAGTAGTATTGAATTGAATACACCAAGTTTCAGTTACTTTGTACTATATTTAGGTTTATTAAAAGCAACATGGAGCTCTTATAACTAAAATAATCCTGCACGGTTAAGACCCCACGATCTGACCTCCTTGCTAACTCATAAAGACAATATATTTGTAGGCTTTAATCAAATAAATTTAACATTGCGCGCGCACTCCGCAACATCATCAGCTGCTACTTCTGCTGCTTATGCACTGGAAGGGACAGTGAGTGGAAGGAGCGGGAATAGCGGCACTCGTCAGTGCAGCGCATGCGCCTGCCGTTTCATTCTACTTGTGTGAGAACTTTCCCATTTGTCGCTGGAAGCATTCCAACGCATGACGTCTGGCCATGGCTTGCGTGCGTTTTTATTGTGAACGTGGTGAGCTACTATTTGCTATGGTGGCTTTTGGCTGGCGCGTGGCTCAGTGTGGTGAAAATCAGTGCAGCTGCACCGGGTGCAAAGCTGAACAGCTGCAACAAGCTAAAAGAGAGGGTGGCGCTACCATAAGTCGCTGGGGTACATAGGCAGCTGTCCTATCTGTTGTTACAGTGGCACTGCATTGCCACAGTTTTGGGTCGGCTATCGAAATTGTGGGGTGGTCCCCAAAAATGTTGCGCCTAATTCTATTCCACAATATCTTGCAACCAAACTTGGCTGCCACAACTTGCACTTACTTATTACTTTCATATTTTTTTTGGGGCGGGCAAAGTTGAAATCAATAATTATTATAGTTTAGTTGGCGGGGCGTGGCAAGCAACAATCTTGCCACGAAATGTTGCACGCTAATGTGCATCAAGGAAAAAATTTAAGTCAGCCGGTGCCATGCGCCTTTTCTTACACAAAAATTAGCCGAAAATGTTATTGGAAACATGGTGCATGTGGCAAGTGGTAGCAAAAAACTTTCTAATTAGGCTAATAAATTTGCAACGAGCAACGCACTTGACAAAGTCGCCGGCGACATCGCTCAGCCAAACATGAGGCAAGCGGCAGGCAGTAGTTGCCACTTGCCACTTGTGTCACTCGCGCCCCGCTGCCAACCAAACTAGCCCGCAAACTTTTAGGATATCTTGTGGCGTTTGTAAAATGTGTTTTCGGGTCAGCTGTGGCACAGTCGCGGCCCACTCCCCCAGTGCCCCAGTCCAACTTGCAACTGTCCCGCTGCTGCATATAATTTATGTTGATTGCATTTAACGGTGCAAAAAGGGAAAATGGCTTGCCTAAAAGTATGCAACGCGGTCCTTTTGCCAGCTACATTCCTTGTCCCTGCCACTGCCCCTAGCCACTTGCCACATGCAGCATGCAGCAGGCAGCATGCCCTTACCCCGGGTCAACAATTTATTTTTATTTTATTTCGTTTATGTTGCCACTGCAACGGCTGTGGCCGAGAGTCAAGTGGCACCAAGATAAGATATAAATATATAGAAGCTGAATCTATTTGTGCAACGCGTTGCACGCAACTTGCTTTTACCTTCGTGTGCCGTTTGAAAGAGTTCTTTGCCAAACAGTTTTCACTGTACCGCAAAAGTGCAAGCTGCGACTTAAAAGCGAACTTACTCTTACGGTTAACTAAGGTTGCAAGCCAATAAATCGAGAAAACTTAACTTAGCCTTAATCTTTAACTAATATATCCATGTTATATATGTACATAATGAACAACATTTACAAGCTATGTGATGGAAAATATGTTGGAAATTGTAGCTTCAAAAAACATTTAGAAACTTTATTAGTGGAAAAGCCAAAAGTTCTAAAGGAAAAGACAACGCACCAATGAAAGACAGAGATCATATATGTATATATATATATATATAATATATATATGTGTGTATATATATATAATATATATATATATATAAATATATATGTATATATAAAATTTGCAATTAACATAATTTTTAGCGAGCGAGTCAAAAGAGAGTTTCAGAGAAAGACAGATTAAGAGAGAAAGAGAGAGAGAGAGACAGAGAGAGAGAGAGAGGGGTAGAGGGAGACACACAGTTAAAAAAAAAACAATAACAGAAAATGGGGCATACTTGTTAGATAAAAATCTGAACATTTAGAATGTTAAAGTTAAAACTGATGGAGAAAGGGTTATAAATTAGATATATATATATATATACATAGATATGTATATTAAAGAGAGAGAGAGAAAGATATAGATAAATAGAATGATAGCTACATATCTGTATATATATATAGTATAGAGGGGAGACAGAAAAGAGAGAGAGAGAGAGGAATACCATGAGCGTTTGGAGCTCAACATTCAAATATAATATATCTGGAAAGCTTCCAAACGTTTCATGTTTTATGTATTTTTTGCTATATTTGAATGTTTTGAAACTTTGATATATATAGCTGTTTATCTCTCTATATATATCGATAAAGTTTATGTAGAAACAGAGATAGAGAGAGGAAAATCGTGAAACTCTTTCGCCACTCTTGGCCAATCACAACATTGACTCTCAAACGGAAACAGATAGAGTTGAAGAGTTAAACAGCGTACAAATAGAAAGTGAGTGAGACAGAGGGAAAGAGCGAGAGAGAGAGAGAGAGAGAGAGAGGCAGAGAGAGTAGGAGACATACGGGAGTGCAAATTGGAGAAAACGTAATCACTCACCGTCGTAGTCGCTGCCAGCTGTAACTGTATGTCCTTGGACCTGCGCCTGCGCTTGCGCGGCCATTAGATGGCTCTGGAACTCCTCCTCGGAGCTGCTGAAAGATCGCTGCTGCTGCGAGGCATACTGAGCGCCAGCTAAGGAGCGCCGCTGCTGTTGCTGCTGCTGCTGCTGATTGTAGGTGGTCGCATCCATGGCATGGCCACCACTAATCGTTAGATTGCGCGTCAGCGGTGGCGCCTTCTGATAGCCACTGTTCAGCTGCGCAGGTTGCGAATGGATCTGAGCATGCGTCGAGGTTCCTTGATACGGCTGTTGCTGTTGCAGCATTCGCTGCTGTTGCTGCTGCTGCTGCTGCTGCTGCTGCTGTGGTTGTGGCTGCTGCTGCTGATGTGGCTGTTGCTGGCATGCATTGAATTGCTGCTGGGCTTGGTGTCGCTGCTGCTGCGGCTGCTGCTGCTGCTGATGTGGCTGCTGCTGCACCTGGCTGGGATGAGCTAAATGTGGATGCTGTCGCATTAGGCCATCCAACTCGCCCTGCACCAAAACAGATATTCATAATTAATTAAAGCTTATGCCACACTCACACTTCAAGATAGTTTAAACTAAATCATCTGGAACATTGCTTTATTGTTTATAGAATATGAGATGTATTTAGAGCCAGTGTTGGATAACAACATCTGCCTAATCTCTTTTCTTCTCATTTTGCTTATGTCAGGTTCAGACTTAGTTAAATTATTTCTTGTTGCGTTCTACAAAATGCTTCTCTAATGTAGGAAGGCAAATAGATTAAGAGGTGTATTCAAAGCCAGTGTTGGATAACAACATCTGCCTAATCTCTTTTCTTCTCATTTTGCTTATGTCAGGTTCAGACTTAGTTAAATTAAATCATCTGGAACATTGCTTTCTTGTTGCGTTCTACAAAATGCTTCTCTAATGTAGGAACGCAAATAGATTAAGAGGTGTATTCAAAGCCAGTGTTGGATAACAACATCTGCCTAATCTCTTTTCTTCTCATTTTGCTTATGTCAGGTTCAGACTTAGTTAAATTATTTCTTGTTGCGTTCTACAAAATGCTTCTCTAATGTAGGAAGGCAAATAGATTAAGAGGTGTATTCAAAGCCAGTGTTGGATAACAATATCTGCTTACTCTCTTCGCTTCTCCTATCTTATCTTCTTCTTTTTCTCGGCTTCAGAATAAGTTATACCTAATCATCTGGAATATTGCTTTCTTGCTGCTTTCCATAAAATGCCTTTCTAGTGTAGGATAGAAACTAGATTAAGAGTTTTTTTCAGAACCAGTGTTGGACATCATCATCATGGACAACATCTGCGTGATATCTTTTCTCCTTCTCTCTTAACTTATTCATTTTCTCATCTCAGAGTAACTTATACTAAATCATCTAGAATATTGCTTTCTTATTGCCTTTTCTAAGATGCATTTAAAGCCAGTGTTGGATAACAATATCTGCTTACTCTCTTTGGTAATTGAATTTAAAGTCCTAAGAGCTCACCTGATAGTAACGCGGATCATCTTCTGGGTAGGCGCCCGATCGCTGTGGATGCTGTTGCTGGCCATAGCCGAGTTGCTGCTGCTGTTGCTGTTGCTGCTGTAGTTGTTGCTGCTGCAGTTGATATTGCTGCGCCTGCTGCGGATTCATTGGTTGCATGCGTTGGCGCTGTGGCAGCTGCTGTTGCTGCATCTGCTGTTGGCCCGGACTCAGTGGCTCCATGCCGCTGTCGGAGACGGAGAGACGGCGATTCGTTGGCTGCTCCTGCTGTGAATATTGGCGACGCAGCATGCTGCCCGCACGTTGCATAGGCAGGTTCTCCTTCTCAGCAGCGCTGCGCGTGCGCTCCAGCTTGGGCCGCTTGTCCGTCGTATCGCGTGGATCGACAATGGCCTGCTGCGAGATGTCCTGCACACAGAGAAACAGAGCGCAAAGATTAATCTAATTTGTTACTTCATAGTTTGAATTTCAGCTACTTACGCTGCTGCCATCGGGCTCAATGCGCCGTATGAAACCATCTTGTTGCACCGCCGTCTTGTTTATCCACTGGCCCGTTTTAGACAGCAGCTCCTGCTTCTTGCGGCACAGTATACACACCCAGATTACCTGAAGCAACAAAATCAAATTAGAATTTAACGTCAGCAGCAAGTCAGAAAATATTCAGAAAGTTTCGAGTTCGGCGTTCGAGTGCTTTTGTTTTATGGGGGGAATATGTCACAGTCGCCAGAGGAGAATCATGTACATAATTACTTCGCGCCCACCACGCTGCTCTTCTACTTCAACGAGCTGTGGGAGCTATGGAACACCATCAGCTGTCACCTGATTACGTATATAGAGCGCGGCAGAGGTGAATATTTCGCAGGCTTTTGCAGTTTTCACTTTTGCTGGCATTCGATAGAGGAGGAGGAGGAGGAGCAAGAGGAGCAGCAGCTAGAGCAGTTAGAGTACAATATCGACAACGGAAGCAGCCTTGAGCAGGACGTGGACTACGATGTCGAGCAGAGGCAACAGAACTTATATCATTTGGTTCACATGTCGCTCATATTTCGTGCCTCCCATTTCAATCAGAGTTGAGATGGCCGGCAAAGCCAAAGTGAAATCGAAATTCCATAACGCGTTTCTTTCTATGCCGAAATTGGTTAAAAACGTTGCATTTTTACCTATCTTTGTGTCCGTGGTGTGTGAATGTGGGGGCATAAGTGTATGTGTGTGTGTGTGTGAATGTGTATGTTTGTATGATTTTGTATGCATGTGTGTATGTGTGTATGTATATGTGTGCATCTGTGTGTGACATCTTGGCAAAGCTTCAATAAAACGTTTGGCAACGTGGCCAGCAAATGATAACCCACCATGGCAATAGAGCCAAGCAGCCAACCAGCCAGCCAGCCAGCCAACTCGTCACGGCTCAGTGGGTAAAATAAAAAATGGAAAAACGTGTAATTGAAATGCAATGCAATGTGAAATGGTGTGCCAAATGCTAAAATGCTCGCGCATGGATGCGACCCCAACTCCTGACCCAAAGGCAATTGCATTTTGTTAAATTTTAATACGGTATAAAAATCTATAAGGTCTTGATATACTAGATCCTTTAAGCTGTTCTCATGTCAGCTACTGGAAGCTTTTTCTTGAAAAGCCAAAAAAATTCCTTTTAATAAAAACTCGTCTAAAGTTGCAAAAATCTTTGTTTTATGGTATTGAGACGAGCTGCTCTTCAAGTGAGGCGTTTTCTGGCACTTTTCCTTCAGCTACTTTAAACATCGTAATGCAATTAGAATTGCATCTAGGATACACACAGCTCCACTTGAGTTTGCTTCAGTACTTGTCCTCTTCCGTAGCTTAAATTTCATTAGCTCTTGTAGCGCTCTCAATGTCGAAAATCAAGTGGCGAATTGACCCCCAAAATCATTGTCGTAAAAGAACGAAACTAAACCCAATAAATATTGGCTGGATTTTATATAGGCGAGCATTCGCCGACCGTCGCGATGGCGATTATTTATGCGTGGTGCACGCGGCGTTTGGGCAATTGTAAAAGCGAGCGCTGGCCAAGGGGGCGTATGGGCGATGGGTCGATTCAATGAGCCCCAGCAGCGGAGGACGTCGCCAGTATAGCTGGCGACAGAGTGTCATCCAATTTATCAATGGCTGGAAAATGAGCAGAATTCGCTTCGCATCGCCCCGCCGCGCCTCACTTCGCCACGCCTTGCCTTCTTCGCAACCCCTCGCCCCGTTTGTGTTTGCCTTACATTGCGCTGGCTCCACACGTCGCCGAGTGACAGCCGCGTCTAATGGCTCTTGAAATTGCCAACTGTAAAATGTGTCACGCTGTCAACTGCCATGGACAATGAGACAGAGAGACAGAGAGACAGAGAGAGAGAGAGAGAGAGAGAGAGGTATTTACCTTGTTGCTGCGCAGGGTAACTTTGCCGCCGCAGCGGGCGCAGCAGCGTATGTTGCAATAATGGCAAATGTGGCCAACGCCATCGGCAAACTTGGTCTTAAGGCATATGTGACAGGTGGCATCCAGCTCGACGCCGGCCTTCTTCTGCTGCTCGGATCGCTGCCTGATTTGCATCTCCAGCGTAACAACTTCGTCCTGTTTGCGTCTGTGAAAATCCATTTGCATGCGATTTTTGGTTAGATATTGCATTTGCGGATTCAAAAGGCTTAGCCATCATCTAGCTGGTTTGTATTACACATATTTTTGTCATAAAAGCGATAACAGGATAACTCTGAAAGTAGTATACGAGTCTCTGCACGATTTCTCCTTTCACGTCACGAGCTCAAACTGCCTCTCATTACACCTATTACACCACACGATGTTTTCCCTATCTTCGTGTATAAGTCGCATAATCATTTTCCTGTACGTATTGCACTCTAGTTCACATAATTAAAGCTTTTATAATAAACCGTTAGCTTTGGCTGCCTGTTCATTTATTTTATTCCTTAGTCGTTTCCTATGTCATCTGTTCTCTGATATCTGTTCTCTGTTCTCTGTTATCTATGTTATCTTTTATCTTTTATCTGTTATCTTCTATACATTATCTTCTATCTGTTAACTGCTAACTGTTATCTGTTAATTCTATCTGTTATCTGTTCTCTGTTATCTGCTATCTGTTAACTGTTAACTTTTATCTGTTATCTGTTATCTGTTATCTTTTATCTGTTATTCGTTATCTGTTATCTGTTATCTGTTATCTTTTATCTGTTATTCGTTATCTGTTATCTGTTAGCTGATATCTTTTATCAGTAACCTGCTATGTTATCTGTTAACTTTTAACTGTTAGCTGTTATCTTTTATCTGTTATCTGTTATCTGTGTTATCTTTTATCTTTTATCTGTTATCTACTATCTGTTAACTGTTAACTTTTATCTGTTATCTGTTCTCTGTTATCTTAAATCTGCTATATGTTATCTGTTACCTTTTAACAGTTAGCTGTTATCTTTTATCTATTATCTTTTCTCTATTATCTGTTATCTTTGTTATCTTTTATCTTTTATCTTTTATCTGTTATCTTCTATATGTTATGTGTTATATGTTAACTGTTAACTGTTATCTGTCATTTCTATCTGTTATCTATCTGTTATCTGCTATCTGTTAACTGTTAACTTTTATCTGTTATCCGTTCTCGTTTATCTTTTATCTTATATCTGTTATCTGTTATCTGTCAGCTGATATCTTTTATCAGTAATCTGCTATATGTTATCTGTTCCCTCTTAACTGTTAGCTGTTACCTTTTATATATTATATTTTCTTTGTTATCTTTCATCTGTTATCTGCTAGCTATCATCTGGTACTGTTCTCTGTTATCTGTTATCTGATATTTGTTCTGTGTTATCTTTTATCTCTGTTATGTTTTATCTGTTATCTTCTATATGTTATGTGCTTTCTGTTAACTGTTAACTGTTATCTGTTATTTTTTATCTGTTATCTGTTAGCTGATAGCTGTTAGCTGTTAACTTTTATCTGTTATCTGTTCTCTGTTACCTTTTATCTGTTATTTGTTATCTGTTATCTGTGAGCTGATATCTTTTATCAGTAGTCTGCTATATGTTATCTGTTCACTCTTAACTGTTAGCTGTTATCTTTTATCTATTCTGCTAGCTGTTATCTTTTATCTATTATCTTTTCTCTGTGATCTTTCATCTGTTATCTGTTATCTGTTGTTTCTATTATCTTCTAGCTGTTATCTGTTATCTGTTATCTGTATTTGTATGTCGTGTTGCTAGCATTTACTATATGTATTATCCTTTATCTGTTTTATCCGTTATCTGCAAGATATTATCTGTTATGTTACCTTTTATCTCAGCTACTTACCGCATTATCTCATTTTGCTTCTCCTCCTCCTGCTTCTGCCGCATGAGCACATTTTCTATTTGCATGCGCTCGTGCGGCGTCAGATGCGACAAATCTGGCATTTCGTCCATGGCGTTCTGCTGGAACTGGTTCCTGAACTGGTTCTGTGTGTATTATGCTCTTGTTTCGTTGGCTTTGCACATAAAACTAAATGTTAGTTGCACTAATTTAGTTAGTAAATCGCTTCTGTGTATACGTTGCTATAATAAATTAATTACTTTTCGACCTTGTAGAATTTCTTGTTGGTTTTGGTTTTGTTTAGGGAATTTTTAAAGCTTCTCTTTTTATGTATATATATATATATGTGTATATATATATTTAAATAACATTTGGTTTTGAATGCAATTAGGCAATATTTATAAATATAATATTTTGTATTTATTATAATTATTATTAAATTTATTTGGATTATTAATAAACCATTCTGATAGAAAATCACAGAGCAAATTTCTAAATTTTACGTTTTTACTATTTGATTTTTATTCTTTATTTTTTATATTTTTTGTATTTTCGTAGTTTTATTTTGAAGAATTTTTCAATGCGTCGGCTTTGCTGGTTTATTTCTTATTTATTTATTTTGTGTTGTAGACTTTTGGAAATTCGTTGAAACGTTTTACAATGGTGCAGATCAGTTTCCCTTTCACTGTGTCGCGTGTGTGTGTGATTATGGCTATGTACGTGCTGGTGTGTGTGGGTGTGCGAGTGTCTGACTGTGTGTGTGTGTCTGTGTGTGTATGTAAACGCTGCACTCGACCTTTCAAGGTCAGTTTCTCTTTTCTCTGTTCGTATGTTTAGGTCGCTTTCATATTAAAAACAAAATTGGTATGAAATATTTCAACTGCGCCTCGATTCTGTTTCTGTTTCATTTTGCTAGCGCTCTGAAACGCTGTCTGGCCTGTGCTGATGCTGATGCTGATGCTGCTGCGGCTTTTGTTGATGCTATTATAAGTGTTGACTGCTGCATTTGTTGCTGTTGTTGAAATGGTTGTTGCTGCTGATGTTCCTGTTGTTGTTGTTTGCTTTGTTGTTGATCTCTGCAAAGCGAAGCCATCTTTGATAAGCGAATTTTGCGATTAGCGCGCGATATTCATGCAGTGCAATGTCAGTGGTCAGCACTGCAAAGAGAGTGAATCGAATATAGAGACAGATAAGAGAAAGAGACAGAGCAATGGGAATAAACATAAGTCAGAGAATAAACCGAAGCAAAGATTGATAGATGGAGAAGGGTTAGGAGGAGACGGAATGAAGACAGGGCAAACAGGACGTGGAAGGAAGAGAATATAATTATAATTATTTAATAAATTTTAGTTTTTATTTTTAATTTTATTATCAAAAGAAAATATAATGTTACAGCTAAAATCTGATGTGATTATTTTATGTTGGGCCTCACAGTCATAGAAAGTCAAACAAGCGCATATTTGTTATAGAGCTCGGACGAATAAACTATATTCAGCATGGTTCACGAGCATAAAACAAGTTACAAGAGCTTTAGGGGACAATGTTCCTGAGAAGTGAAGTGAGAAAACAGAAAAGAATTTCAAAATGAAAACATAATTGTAAAGATATAATATAAATCTAAGAGAATACCAGATGAGTACATAGCAGGAGACTTGATAGGAGACTAATTGATAGCGCAGGTAGATCGTGGCTAAAAAAGTTTTGATGAATGAGAAGCTTTTGCGAACAGACGTCGATGACTTTCGGCGCTGCCGCAGTCACGTGTAAAAAGACACGAGACATGAGGATAGGCAAAGGAGCAAATATATTCAACTGATGATAAATATTTTATCAAACTAAACTGAATGTAAGCATAAATTGAATTATACAATAAATGCACACAGAATCTTGGGATTAGGAGAGAGTCATCCGGATGGCAGAGCTGCAGCAAACTAACATAACAGTAACAATGTAACATACCTGTCCAAAGGCCATGAATGTTTTGCTATTGTTAATGTTACGCACGATAAGAGAGCACAGACTTCAGGAGAAAAAGAAATAAATTGCCCAAATTGTACAACTTAGATATGCTGTGAATTTAGCAGCAAAGTATTTTTTCTACGTATCTCAATACTGTTTCAGTAGTGTTGCTGTGATGCTGAGAGTTGCACAGGGTTGTGGGGAAGGTAATATCCGAGTGAGCTTGCATCTCGGCTGCACGCTTCTCAGTTCGGGCTTTGTGAGAGTGGGAATAACGAATTCACGGGTATTGCCAAGTGAAAGTGAGAGGGCTATTAAGGTCATTCGCACAGGGTCGTTATGATTGTCAATGTCCAAAAAGAAGCGACAGGCTGGACACGGATTTGGTTGTAAAAGACACTAAAGAAACTGAGAATGGAAGCTGGTCAAGCTGATTCAAACTCCATTATATATTTATTTATTTAATATTGTAAACAATTGAATTATAGCATATATATCACATCATTTATATACGATGCACAGTGTAAACATCAGAAATTAAAATTTTATTCAGCTGCGACTGGAGCGAGTGTAACTAGTGGCCTGTGGGCGTGGCAAACGAGGGACGCAAGCAGATTGGCCACTCAATACAAACGTATGTAGCACGGTAATTATTTATGACCATCAAACTGGCAGAGCAAACAAGAAGCCACAGGGGCAGGCTTCACAATACGAGCCCCGTGTGATGGACGGCGAGGGAGAGGCAAGGACTTGCTCACAGCTGGGCCAGGTGCAGCGGGCGTGGCAAGCAGCAAAGGGGTGGCAAGCTACTCGTTGCGGTCGACTCGGTGACGCACGTACAAAATGCGAATATTTGTAAGAGGCCATACGCCAGGGCTGACAGCTATTACAAAACCTGAACAGATCCACGCCAAATCAGTGAAAAAGGCTCAAAAGAAATTTATAAAAGCTTCAGAGAACAGAATAAAAATCATTTCGCCATTTTTATACCCTGATCTCAGTGAAAATCGGAAATCAGTGTATAATGGTTTTGTGCAAATATATGTAAGGAAGGCAGAAGAAGGTGTGGCAGACACCATAAAGTATATATATTTTGGAACAGGATCACAAGCCGAGTCGATGGAACACAGTCCACTCGTCTGTCCGTATACTCATACGCGCCGATCTCAGCATCTATAAGAGCTAGAGACTTCCATTTTTTTGTTTGTTTTAAATATTTTAACTATTTTATTATCATCGATTAAAAATATGATCAAATTGCAGTTATTAAATTATATCTCGTACAGCTTAAGTTTGCCTTTTTTTTCCCTTTTTTTATATTTTGTATACCGGCTCAAAATTTGCCCAAATTTGTTAACTTTTAAGTTTAGTTGGAAATAGGGCCAATAAGTGAAGGCAAAAATTCCATTAAAATCCTTCAAGTAAAACAGAAATTATTAAACAAAACGCGTTTCTAATTTGCAAAAGCACGTGGCAAGCAGCGCCAAGCGACAAGTTCTGGGTCGCAACATTGTATTTTAAACAATAAAAAGGCTTGAAAATATATTTAGATATTCAAATTTGGCTATGAAAAAGGCCATATCTGACCGAAAAGGCTTAGTCGGCAGCACTGGCAAAAACAGAAACACATATGTTTATATAGATATAAATATATATATAATGCAGAGAGATGTGAAGAGAGGTATAGAAAAGGAGAGAAATGGAAAGAGGGAAAAGCGGATAACTCATTGGAGGAGATGAAAGATAAGGCAACTGCAGCAAGAGCCTTTTGCGCGCATCATTCCCGAAGTGTGAGGCTGTGCCTGTGTGTGAGTGTGTGTGGGTATAAGTGAGTAGTTCCTGCAGGCAGATTGAAGTGCGGCTTTTGCACTTCAAAATTAACTCATTTTACACAAAAGACAACATCTGCATGGAAACATATAGAGACATTGAGAGAAAGAGAGAGAGAGAGAGAGAGAAGTAGAAGGAGATTGAGGGAAACACAGGCTAAGCTTAGATATATTAAGAGGATATCGACCCCAGTTGCGGTAGACATTTTGGAGTAGCATAGAGCAGGTCAGACATCAAATCTGGCACAGCATCAGCAATGCAGATAACGTGCAGCATATCAAATGAGAATGCTTCCACTTACTCTTCCTCTTTTATGACAAGACTCTAGGAAATATATTTAGTAATGCATTTTTAATGTACATATTTAGCTAAGCAAAGCTGCAAAGAGAGTTGCAGCAAGTGAATCTCAAGTTTAAAAAAAACGAATCTAAATATTTACTTTAATATCTAAAGAATATTTTTTTTTTTAATTTTTAGTAAATATTATGCAAGTACATTCATAAAAAATAAAAAATAGTATATAAATTAAATTCGATTTATTATTAAATTAATCGCATTTATAATAATATTTATTAATTTATAATAATTTTTAAAATTAATTTTAAATCTGTTATTGAATTATCAAATTTATATTTGGCTTTATTGACGGTGTTTAGCTTGAACCGTTAAACGGGTCTATTCCTAGATGAATTTGCGATTTTGATCTTAAAGCACTAAATCAATATTTGAATCATATTAATAATTTGAACAGTGGGAATTCGATGTTAATCTAGATTCTTGATTTTTTAATAACAATATTATATTATTATGATCAACTTACAATTATTCTATTTGCTACAAGCTTATAAGAATCTGAATATCAACATCAAGTTATCAGCAGCAGAGCTCTATATTACCTTTTATATTGAAACCAGTAAATGGCAACATAAATTAAGGAATTGCTTTGCTTAACAAATGCAATTCTTCAGCTGCTTAAGCTAGTAGAACATGGCTGTGCATGCACTTTCATAATTCTAATATTAGGTACACAAAGATTTGCTTATCAACGCGCGTAAACTTAGCTGCCAATTGATGTGGCAACGGGAACACTTGCTAGCCGAGGGGCACAAGCAAACACAGCTGAAAGCGCATAGAATACGACACAACGAGGCTCCACGCATACCCCCACATCAATCGCTGTGAAGCTCTGCTTTAGTTTGGGGCGAGATAAAACCCAGTTTCTTGGGTGTTTATAGCCTGCGTTGCGCTCGGGTCGCTGGCAGCTCAGCTGCTTGAACATGAATTGATAATGCAGCAAATGCAGCAGCAGCAGCAGCAGCAACGGCAGCAAGTGGAACACAGACAATAATAGCGACAAATATTCATGCAAAATTGATGTTTGCACACGGGCTTAAAATACTATTTTATGCGCCCAGCATCTGTAATTCGTGCTGCCTAGCTCTAAGGGTCAGAGAACCAGAAAATCAAATTGCAGGTAGGTTTTCCCAAAAGTTTGCCTAAATTTGTTGACGTACTCAAAAGGGACA